ATGGTCTGCAGACGTCTTGCATAAACCCCTAAACCCCTAAACCCCTAAACCCCTGAACCCTAAACCCTGAACCCTCAACCCCTAACCCGCTAAAACCCTCCCTGACTTCCCATCGCACCTCAACTCCCATAGTCCTGGCCAAAGCAGAAGATACGGAGACCCAGAGGGCTTCGGGGCTCTTAGGGTTCCGGGTGGCTATTTTTTGGGCAGGGTTTCGGGGCTCTTCGGGTTTCGGGGGGGGCTCCTGTTTGGGGGCGGGTTTAGGGTTTAGGGTTTCGGGTTTAGGGTTTAGGGAGGGTTTAGGCTTCTAGATAAGTCTATAAGAAGGTTTATAAGGGCTCCATATTGCGGGCTTGGGGGTTTCGGATTTGGGGTCTCGAGTTTAGAGGTTTAGGGTTTCGGGCTGAGGGCTTATAGGGGTCTAGTGTTCGAGATCTACGGTTTGGGGTGTATGGGTTATGCTTGAGCTTTAGGATTTCTGGTTCGGGTTTGCGGCTCCGGGCTTCGACATTGAGCGTTTCAGACTTACAGCTTGATGAGCGCTTAATGGGATTTAGGGTTTTGGGGTTAAGGGTTTAGGGCCTCCTTCAATGAGGACTAAAACTTATATCCGGATATGTGTGCCCTTAAGAGGTGTTTATGAAAACGGGGGTCTATTAGATGCACCGCCGCCCTTAATAAGAGAGCGTCAAAGCAATCTTCGCAGAACGTACTTTCGAGCCGCGAAAATCTGCAACTATTATTGGCCTAGCCCTAGTTATGGCTATGACTCTGATTATGATTGATATGCTTATCACTACTATTATGACTACTACTACGATATTCTCACTACAACTATTACCATTGCTACTACTTTGACGATGATGAAGATGATTAATGTTGTTAGTATTGGTAGTACCGTAAACCTCAACAGTGAAATCATGCGACCCACAACGTACCCTAAACTTTCGGCCCTATAAACCCAGAACTTGAAACCCGAAACCTTACAACTATAAAAAATACGACCCGAAACCTCGGAACCCTAAACCCTAAACCCTAGACCCCAAACACTAAAACCGAAACCCTAAACCCCAAAAACCCTAGAACCCTCAACCCTAAACCCTAAGCCTTAAACTCTAGAACTCTAAACCCAAAGCCGTAAACCCGAAACCCGAAACCCGAAACCTTAGAACCCTCAACCCTAAAAAAAGGAGCTTTCGCCGTTTCTTTAGTTTCTAGTGGGTGCACTCTGGCGCGTGTGGGCGGTGTCGGTTTTAGGGTTTAGGGCTTAGGGCTTAGGGGCTGTTTAGAGTGTAGGTTTCGGTTTGGGCGGGTTTTCGACTTCGTGGCCCCAGATGCACCACGTCTCGACCGAATACCGCCGGCTCCGAACGCCAATATTCTGAGACTCCGATCCCTTTTTTCCCCCAAATCCCTACACCAACCCAAACCTTCAACCTCATACCCAAAACTCAAGACCCCAGACCATCATCCCCAGGCCCCTGAAGGCAACTTCGCCCAGGCGACGTGTCTTCCCGCGGAAATATTCAGCAAAGTCCTTCCGTGCGTCGGTGTAGCGGTTGGGTGTTCAGGGTCAGGGTTGGGTGGGCATTGGGCAGCATTTATGGTCGTTGCTTTAAGGCTTCATGGTTTTCGCTTCATGCCTTGGGGTTGGGCCTAAAACCCTAAACCCCAAACCCTAAACCGCAAAGCCTCAACCCTAAACCTCAAACCCTCAACCCCAAAGCCTAAACCTTAAGTCCTAAACCTCAAACCCTAAACCCTAAGCCGTAAGCGAATACAGGGTTTCGCGGGTTTGGGCGTTGCTGTTTACGGCTGCAGGCTTAGGGGTCTGGGCTGCAGGCTAAGAGTCAAGGGCTACTTAAAGGATCCTTCAAAGGGTTCCTTTATGTCCGATAAGGGTTCTAGAAGGGTTCTATAAAGGGATGGCTGCCTTGGATCTTGAGGTCTTCCCTTTGTCTCGGGTAGGGTTTAGGGTTTAGGGTTTAGGGTTTCGGGTTTCGGGTGTAGGGTTTAGGGGTTTAGGGTTTAGGGTTTAGGGGTTTAGGGGTTTAGGGTTTGGGGTCATATCGTACTTCCGGGCCCAAGCTCCGAAATCACCAGGACGTTTCCAAGACTAGACCCCTTGAAAACGGCTCTTCAGCTCGAAAACAACCCCCAAAAAAAAGGAAAGGACGAAGGACTCCGAAAACCTGTTCTGGGTGTCTGGAGTTAGGATTAGCTGATTAGCCAAACACTAAACCCTAAACCTTATACCCTATACCCTATCGGAAAAAGTGGACAAGGTTCTGGCGGAATTGCTGCTGTTCGCCTGTGGAAAGGATTTTTTCTGTTTCAACCGGCCTGCTGAATTCGACCCGCGGCAACTAGGACTGTAATCCTGCAAAGCAGATGATCCTGTAGATCCGGAACCTGCACCTCCAAAGCCTGACAAACAAGCACCCGCGAATCTCCAGTCTCCAAGTCAGCTGCACCGAAAGCCTTGTAACCTAGGGGCCTTAATAATTAGAATAGGGTTTGGGGAGTCTATTATACTATAATTACAAAAGGACCCCCCGAAAACCCTGTTCCAATCATGAAGGGCCCCTATATTACCCCGAAATGGTTTCCAGTTTAGCTCAAGCCCTTAAGGAAACCCCTTAACGACTTGAGAGTCCATTCTGCCCCGGGCAGGTCCAGACCGCCGAGGGCGCCCCGCGGTGCGCGGCCGTCCGTGGGCGGGTGGAAGAAGAAGTAAGCTGAGCATGCTCAGATCGCTTGTAGTTGCGGGCCCTCACAACCCTAAACCTTACAAAACCCTTATAAGCCCTAAACCCTACACCCCAAAGACCCTCCACCTTTGCTGGTCCGAAAAAGCCCTGAATGTCTTATGATTGGCACGGGGGTTCGAATTTCAGGGTCTCGGGCTTGAGGGGTTCTAGGGTTTACAGAGCTTTTGGACTTGAGGTTCAGGGTGGTAGGGGCTAGGGTGTTTGGGTTTAGGCCTCACAACCCTAAACCCTGAATCCTAAACCCCAAACCCTAAACCCTAAACCCCAAACCCTAAACTCTAAACCCAGAACCCCAAACTCTAAAAAAAAAGCCTGAGATCTGATCATTGTTCAGCAGCCGTCATTCTCCTGCTGCAGCTAACAGCCTGGACCAAAAAAGCCTGAACCTGTCGAAATCAAAACCCTCAAAGCATAATCCCCTGAACCCTGACCCTAAAACCCCTCAACCCTAAACCCTAAACCCTAAAACCCCTCAACCCTAAACCCTAAACACCTGAAAGCCTAAACCCTAAAACCCCTCAACCAGGTGCCCGCCGAGCGGCTGCCCCTGCACAGCTCCGTCTCGAAGGCAAAAGGCTCCTTGCACGGAGAGTTTTCGAAGGGGCCAATTCCGGGCGAATCTCCTTTAAGGGTTTGCTTAAAGGGAAACTATCAGGGTTCCTGCAAGGGTTCCTTTAAGGGATCTATAAGGGCTCCTTTGTAGTAAACCTCAAAAACAGTTGGAAACCGGATTCATGCCAAATGGTGCTGGGATTCCCTAGACATTTACTCTCAAGGATTGAGGCTCTGAGGCTTCCAACTTTTGGGCTTCTCCTATAAAGGCGGCCTAAAGCCGTGATAGATTTAGGGTCTGCGGTTTCGGGTTGAGGGCCTAGTTAATCCCTGCACCAAGTCGGGCTTTGTCGAGAGAAAGATGCTGCGCAGCTGACCACTCAAAGCTAGAGGCTGAACCAGTGGAAAGGCCGCGAAACTGCAACAAAAGGGCCATGGAAAATAGAGTAGAGTTTTCGGTATAAGGGACTGCAAGGGCAAAGAAGCAGTAGCGGTAGCATTCTAGGCATAGCTTGTCATGAGCACTGGTCTGTCGCTGCTCGCGGTGTTCGGCCGTCCTCCGGATTGCTCCAGCGAACCCTACACCCTAAACCGTTCGGCGCCGTCCTCCGGATTGCTCCAGTGAAGCCCGGAGGGTGGATCCAGTGCAATCTCCAGTTTCCTTGGCTTGGATTCAGACCGTCACAAAAAGGTAGGGCACTTAATAATTAGAATAAGGTTTTGGGCCCCATATACTATTACTATACTAAGGAATCCCCAAACATGGTATTGGTAGTTATTTAGGCCCCTACATCACTTGAGGATGTTTGGGGGGTTACAGGCTCAGGCCCCCCCAGGGCAAAGGGTAAAGCTTGATAGTAGGTGTGGTTTAGGGTTTAGGGTTTAGGGTTTAGGGTTTAGGGTTTTGGGTTTTGGGTTTATGGTTAAGGTTCAGGGTTTAGGGTTTAGGGTTTAGGTGTGGGTTCAGGTGCCGGCAGACACGCAAGAGTGAAAAGCCTGCTAATGAAGCTGCGCACGACAAAGCCGGAACCTCGAGGAATCCTCGGCCCCTGGAACACCGGAAACCCCAAGACCTAAACCCTAAACCCTAAACCCTAAACCCTAAACCCTAAACCCCTCGAGCAGCCCTCGTCCCACATGTAACCTCACGCACAACCCCCGGCTCGGCAACTGAAATGGCAACTTAGCTGAAGACAAGACTGGAAGCTCCAACGACCCGATCACAAGACCCCCCAAACTCCTAAAAAAAACCCTGAACCTCCCAACCCCTAAACCCTAAAGCCTAAACCCTAAAGCCTGAACCCCTAAACCCCTACAATTCCCTCCCTAGAGTCCCGGAACCATACAAGGGTGACCCCACAAGGCCCAGGGGCTTGCCAGGAGGTATCTGGCCTGCCACCCCCATGTGCTCCAGGCCCTGGCAAAGTCTAAAGGTTTGGGGTTTAAGGGTTTAGGGCTTAGTGACTTAGTGCTTAAAGTTTGGGGCTTTAGGGCTTTAAGGTCTAGAGCTTAGGGCTTAGGGTTTAGGGTTTAAGGTTTAAGGTTTAGGGCTTCAGGGTTCTGGGCTTAGGGCTTTAAGGTTAAGGACGCGGGGCTTCTCCCGATTTATCATGCAGGCCTACAGACTTAGGGCTAGGAGTGCGGGCTTCAGGGAGTAGGATTGGTGTTCTTGTATGTTCTGTTTGTAAGCTTCAAAAAAATCTTACCAGGACTGCAGAGATCTGCAGACGTGCCTACCTGGCACACGCTACATAAACCTACATTTGACATGCATCCTTCCAGCGGCCTACCGACCTATCGATCCATCCATCCGTCCATCCATCCATCCATCCATCCATGGATCCATAAATATGTATATATATATATATATATATATATATCTCTCTCTCTCTCTCTATCTACCTATCTATGTATGTATCTATCTATCTATCTATCTGTCTGTCTGTCTGTCTGTCTGTCTGTCTGTCTGCCTGCCTGCCTGTCTGTCATATATACATATGTATGCACATATATACTTATATGTGTATTTATGTCCCTTTGTATCTAACCGTGCTTTCTGTGTATGCAAGAGAGGGACTGGCACTTCCCAGACCTCGTCATCGAAGCTTTTCTCGCCGCCGGTGTCCGAACTTCCCTGACGGCTCCGACAAGCAGCGGATCAAGGGTTTAAGGTTTGAGGCTGAAGGTTTAGGGTTTAGGGTCTAGGGTTTAGGGTTGAAGGGCTTCGGGTTTAGGGCTTGGGGGCTTAGGGTTTAGTTTAGGACTCAGGGCTTGGGGTTTAGGGTTTCGGGTTTGGTGTCAAGGGTGTAGGGCCTAGGTTTAGCATGGTTTCGGGTTTTGGTTCAGGGTGTTTAGGGTTTAGCGGTTTAGGGTTTAGGGCTTGGGGTTTAGGTTTAGGGTTAGGGGTCTAGATTTAGGATGGCCTTGGGTTTGGGGTTTAGGGTAGGGGAAGGGAATGGCGCTTAGGCTTTGGATTTCATGCTTAGGGTTTAGGGTTGAGGGTTTAGGGTTTACCTAAACCCCCAAAAGACCGTAAATCAATGGCCCAACACCTCTAAAAGGCGATTATTATTACTATTATTATTATTATTATTATTACTATTATTCGGGTAGGGCTTAGGGTTGAGTCGAGGGTCAAAGGCTTCGCGAGCTTTCAGGCCTGCAGTCGTCTTTGTCTCCTAAGAACCCACGCTTGGAAGGGTTCAGGGTTTGGGGGTTTTCACGTTTTCTTCAGGCCTGGGGGCGTAAGTTTATAAAGTGTACTCTCATATGTGAATATGAATGATATAACATAGAACTTAAGAACAATAGGCTAGACTACTATACTATACTGTAGTATAGCTATAATAGGGACCCAGCCGGGTTTTGCGGATTGCTGGAGCCCTGGCACCTTCGATCCGGCCCGGCTGAGCTGCAGCAGCACATAGGCCAACAGCCTGGGGGGGGAGGAAGTCGAGCGGTTCCAAGGGGCTCGGGTTGGTGGGGCCCCAAAACCCTTGCTTTAGGGGTTTGAGGGTTTATAAGGTTTAGGGTTGAGTTGGGGGTTTTAGGGTTTTTTTTAGGGTTTTAGGGTTTAGGGTTTAGGGCTTTAGGATCTTAGGGCTTTAGGGCTTAAGGTTGAGGGTTTGTGGACCCATTGAGCAAATTCCTGAACTGGATTTAGGGCTTCAAGCTTTGGGAGGTGGGGTTTAGTTGGGGGGTTTTCGGGTTTTGGAACCATCTTAAATCTTCTCCTGCCGGTGCTTACCAGACTTTCTTTCTAGACCGGTAACTGGTTCGTCCTGTTCTCCTGATGCTACTCCTTATGCCTTCGCCGGCTCCATCGGCTCGAAACACCTACAGTACATCAGGTGTATGTGGATTCTTCTGCGTTTCACGAACATGGCATTTGTTACGTGACTAATCTCGTTCTACCAGCCTTTGCTTGTAGAGTTTGAAGTTAACGTCCATATTGACACGAGCAAAAAGAGAACGAGTAACCAGAAGAACTAGGAAAAGCCTTCTGATTTTCGGCCCTCCGTCTAGAAAGATGGCGCGGTGTAAGGCTTTTGCACGCGAGAGCTCCCCGTCCCCGCCCCCCACCCTCCTCCAGGAATTCATGATTTGTTCGGTGTGCGTCGCAAACCCCCACCTTACTCTTGCAACCTCTCACAAGCAAACCCGGCTGTCCCAAACTAAGTCCAGACTAAGCCGAAGTCCCATATCACACGGGACGTCCAGACCCCTCAGCCGTTGAGGGTCAGACAAGAGAACCAGCACCGTTCGAGGCTCCACCCTGGGTGCATTATGGTCCATGTGGGCAGTTCCCGAAATTAGGGTCCTTATCCGGATCCCTTATACTGGTGCCGCCTTCTTTGGGGTCCTAAAACGGGTGAATGAGCAGGGCTAAGGATCGCGGCTTGGGAGTTCCAGACCTCATGGGCTCCACTCCAAGGCGTGTTTGTCAGGGCGGACAATGAGTACATCCGGTGGCTAATTTACCCTGCACCAGCGAATGCAGCTGTAGCCGTTGCAGCAGCGGCACCACCACCACCACCACCACCTCCAACGACGACGACGACGACGACAACGACCACCACCACCACCGGAAGAAGACGCAGCAGCAGCAGCAGCAGCAGCAGCAGCAGCAGCAGCAGCAGCAAAACAGTAACCACGACCACGACATCAACCACAACAGCTGCTGCCGCTGCTGCTGCAGTTGTAGCAGTTTTACGTGTAGTAGCTGTTGCGGCAGTTTGGGTTGGTGTTGGATCTCGCATGGGTGCTCCTGGCAGTAGTGACAGCAGCAGCAGCCGTAGCAAAAGCAATGCTAAGTTGCATCACATAATTCCGAGGACTAAATTTAAATTGCGAGACCTTCAACCCCGGTCCCACCCCTGATTCCTGGAACCAACGTCCCCGACCCTCTTTTCGCCCTAAAACAATAAACTCAAAGAAAACACCAAAAGCCGAAACCTAAGCCGATTCAATCCCAGAGGCTCGGAAAGCTTCGAAGTCAGGAAGTCCATAAATGCCGCAGACATGGCTGCAGCTTTCCCGTTGCAATAGTCAGTGATTGTAGCAGCACCGGTATGCTGTTAGTAGAGATTGCGGAGGAGCTCCTGATAGGTAAACAATGATGGCATGACACCCCTCTTGTGAGTTGCTCTCTGGCTGATGAGTTGCTAGGTCAAGACGCTCGCATTCCGACGTGGTATGTGCTTCTAGGTTCACAGCTGTGCTCAACAGGGCGTTGGCTGCCTAGTGGAATACATGCAATCCTGCGTGGCTTCGATTTGCACAGGCGTGTCTCTGCTCAAGATCCCTCGAAGAGTCTACAACAAATGCACACCAAAGATGGTAATGGCCTAATTCCTGGCTACAACCGATCTCTCTGCTGTCAGCTCTTCTGACCCGGCTTGCCTTGGTGAAAGCCCGCTGCGACCCAAGAATGGCCATGTGCACGCGTGTGCATTCCGATGGGTTCTGGGGTTGAGGGTTTAGGGTTTAGGGTTTAGGGGTTTAGGGTTTAGGGTTTAGGGTTTAGGGTCATTTAGGGTTTAAGGTTTAGGGTTTAGGGTTTAGGGGTCGAGGGTCTGGGGTAGGTGGCGGCCGAGGGTTCGGGGTAGGTTGGGGGTGGAGGGTAGTCGACCTGGGAGTGAAGAAGTGGGCTCCAGCAATATCTGCATCAAGACACAAGCACTTCTTGAAGACAGGGCGACACTGCGTCGCCACACAGCTAGTTCTTTCTCCAAGACGAAACACCCGACCAGAAAATCTTGCATCGTTGGTTAACCCGAAACTCTAAACCCTTAACCTCAAACCCTAAACCCTAAACCCTCGAAGACCCCTAGGAGCTTGGGGTACGGACCTCGACGAGGATCCCAAGCTCGGAGCCAGAAGATATGCTCCCCCCCGGTGTTGAGGGTGGCTTCTAATCTGCATGGTGCTTATAGGACTTATATAGGGCTAAGGTTTAGGGCTTTAGGGTTTTGCGCTTTGGGTTTAAGCTTTATAGAGTGCTTTGGGTCAGGGTTTGCGAATGCCTCGATGGCTGGGGTGCAGAGTTTATGGCGGGTCAAGGTTTGGATGAAGTCTTCCGCGCCTTTCGCAATAAGTTCGGAGAGCGCCTCTTGGGAATGACCGATCCATAACGTCGTAGTCGTAAACATTGTCGACAAACTGCGGGAAGTTTTGTCGAAGGAAACACCCGAGCACTGTTCGGAACGTCTCTCTAGTGCTTTTGCTCTGCAGCTTGACTGACGACGACATCTCCCGCCGACAAACTGCCGGCATTCTCACCCCGCTGCTGCTGCTGGAGATGCATTGCCTGCTGCGGCTGACAGCATCTTCATACGGTGCAAAGCAGTTTCGCGTTGCACCAAATGTGTGGGGCATCATGTGCGGAAACATGGGAACTCTAGACACTATGGCCCGTGCATACATTCAGTGTGCAGCGTACACCACGTACATCGAGGGCCAATGCTCCGTGTAGCATGCACGTGTGTACATATGCAAAAATGTGTATAGACGAAACTGTATGTGTCTATATATATATATATAGATAGAGAGAGATGTAGATATATAAGCAGTAGATGCATTTGCTTATTGCTTGTTGCGGTTTGGCAGCCTAGAGTCTAGAGCGGACCTGACAGCAACAGTTCAAGAACCGTAAAGCGGACCAGACCGCGACGGCATGTCAAAAACTCGAATCAGACAGCAACCGGACAGTGACAGCCGGCTGCATTCCTTCACGTTCCCGAGCAGCTCATGGTCGAGGAGAAGGATGTGGCCTGCATTCAGGAAGCCCTAAACCCTAAACCCTAAACCCTAAACCTTAAACCCTAAACCCTAAACCCTAAACCCCCTCAACTCTAAACCGGACGATGGAAGGTGGTAGACGGCGGTGCATGCTCGGAAAGACCGTCTGGTTCAGGCGGACCTGAAGCCCTGGGACCTGAATGCCGCATCAAGGGTGGTTTAGGGTTTAGGGTTTAGGGTTTAGGGTTGAGGGTTTAGGATTTTGGGTTTTGGGTTTAGGGTTTAGGGTTTAGGGTTTAGGGTTTAGGGTTTAGGGTTGAGGGTTGAGGGTTTAGGGCTCCATTTCCAAAACTTGCCGGATGGACACGAAATGCCCACAGGTCAAGTGTACAAGTTCACCCCAGCACACTTAATTTTCCCTCTGAAATTCCGGGCCTCCTATCTTCGTGCATTGGCAACATAGACCAGCCCAAATTGGTAAGACTATGCCCTGCCCAACCTTGACCTGCCGTTACCACTTCCTTGTTGCGCTTCTAGAGCAGTGGCTGGCGCGAATGCTGCATCGAATCAGCGACGCTCGCCCTGGAACCGTAAGAAATGACGGACAGTGACGGGATTAACCCGATCAGCCTCAGCCGGGAAAAGTGGCTCGGCTGGCTCCAGCCTGACGAGACATGGCGTGTCCGATCACCCGACACACTTCACGAGCGAGGCTCCCAGGGAGAAGAGAGGGACAACGGGAGAGAAAGACAAAGCGACAGAGAGGCCGAGACGAAATGCTGCGGTGCAGCTGCAGCGGAGCGGATGATGATGCAACTTGCCGGGGACCCTCGCATCATCCAAGATGCCCTCGGAGTTGTTCTCAAGCTCCTCTTGGTCCAAAGAGCTCTAACCCAGGAACGCAGAGATTTCGGTCCTAGACGGTTGGTAGCGACATGCGCAACATGCACCACCAAGACCGGCTCTGCACCTGCCCCTTTTTTCTCGCGAGCCACTCTGGAGAACTGGTTTTGGTTAAAGAGCCACCACTCGCTGTCCGTTCTGCTGCACTACAATCGGCATTTCTGCCTACGGCAGGGCTTGGAAGATGCATGGACGTTCTGCATATGCGCATCTGGGGCAGGTCGCCAAATGCAAACCCGCCGAAATCGTGATCTGCAACGGTCGCCAAATGCAAGCCCGCCGAAATCGTGAAACCCGAGATCTCTACAAGGAAGCCGTCTTCCGCATCACTCATGATCCCCCTGGTGCTGCTTGGCCTTTTGGTAACCATCTACCTCCGGGCACCTGCCAGCATGGGGACAAGTCTTCAAATCGCAGGTAGAGGATTGCAAAAAAGGGAAACAGCAAGACGACCACACGGCGGCAGGGATGCATTTGCAAGAAGAAAAGGTCTATGTTCATGGAGCTACGGAGCGGCTTTCCAACGAAGTCCCAGATAATAGCAGGTACTCCTTGGAAGCTGATATATAGCTTGTGTTACGGACCCGGACCCTGAAGCAGCCAAAAGGAAGCCGCAGCGCAAGACTGACTGCACATGTGCTACTGAATTATCACATAAACCTAAGGCACGCGGAGCCAGGGAAACGATTACGACGTGGGACATAACCTAACAACCATGAGGGCTGCAACTGCAAAGCCCCGTCTTTTGAACCTTCAACTGGATTGGCTGACCTAGCTGTCTCTCTCCGGATTCGCTTGACGATCCGGATCAGGCGACCGAGTGTTGCTTCTGCATCCTTGGCCGCACCAGCATTCGGGCTAACTGGAGTTCAGGGTAAACATGCCAATGCCTCCGAGCTGACGGGCCTGTTCTGACAGTATCCTATTTGGGTACATTTGCGTGTAGCTGGCTGGTCGTGCTAGGGTTTAGAACGCATGCACATGATCGCTAAGTTCAGACAAGTGTCGAGGTTCACACGAAGACCTGCATTCATCAAAGCGAAGCCTAGCGCGCGGACTTCCTCCGAAATGTCGCCCACGATTTCCCGTGCACCAAGGAGTCTCGTCTCTGAAATCCGCATGGTCCACGTGTCGATGTCTGAAACCAAAGGAGAGATTCGGTAGTTACCCTCCGTCTTCTTCTCCTCGGAGCGGAGGGCGTGCACGTCATCTCGGTGCTTGGAGTTCTTAGCAATGTCCTTCAACTCCAAAGCTTCCTGGCAGAAAGCAGAGATTTGAAACAGCCTCAAGATCAAAAACACATACATGGCAGCATGAATGCATGACTGCATGTCGCCCCCCCAAAATATACATGTACTTATGGGAGGGAGGAAGAGCGAGAGGGAGAGGGAGAGAGAGAGAGAGACAGAGAGACAGAGAGCAGAGCAGAGCGAGCCGAGCCCAGCGAGCGATATATATATATATATACATAGAGAGAGAGAGAGAGAAAAAATGTGAGTATACATAGATATATATATATATATGTATATATTTTTATTGATTTGTATTGATATCTATATTATATTAAGCCCCAGACCTTACATCATTCAGCCAAGGCTCTCGCTCACCCCAGACATTGTAGTAGTTGCCTCGGCGTTGGCGCCAGTCCTCACCCTTGACTTTGCAGAATGCCGTGTGGGTCAGCTTGTTGACACGATCGCCCCAAATTGGGCAATCACCAGGGATGTCGTAGGTGTTGAAGTTTAGGTAGTAGATGTAGCGAGCACATTGGGATGCTTGGAATAGCCAGATCTTTCAGCACATTTTCCTTAGCTCTTGCGGGGTGGCAGCAGCCATGTCCCCTCATACAGCACTGCATCTGCAAAAAATCCCTCCGAAACGAAGGATGCCAACGTCTACGCCAGCACTGCATCTGCAAATAATCCCTCCGAAACGAAGGATGCCAACGTCTACGCAACTAAACGCCAGGTAGTCTCGTTGCCCAACTGGAACATGTTGTCCAGGAACACAAGACTGGAGTTGTGCCCACCTTGGGCTGCCTGACAAAATCCGTGACTGGGAATATAAGGGTACCTCATGTAGTTGCGGATCGTGACGGAGAATGCTCATATCGTTACTGCTTCAATCCCACAGCCGTCCGTTCAGAGTCCCTCCTGGTTCCCTAAAACCGCGTTAGGCAAGGAAAACCCTTGTCTTCAGATTCGAAGCTCGAAATACTTGCGATACGAGGCATCTGAACAAATGCAGGGGCCCAGAAAAGGATTCCTTACCTAGAACGACCCGCAGGTGGAGAGGTGCGAGGCCTGAGGTATCACCGCTGACCATACGCCGTTTGCTCCGTTCAACGCTGCTTCTATGCCTGCAGCGTCTTGCGTATTGCCATCCCCAGCATGCGCGTGGATGAGGATGCGGTACTTCTCCTTCTCGGGGAAATGCTTTCGGAGCCACCTGGAGTGCAGAATCGGGAAAAACGACCCGAGATCGAACTTCTAGATTACACCCCAGGTGAGAAGATCCGATGGTATCTCTGATCTCCTGAAACCCCACCTTGTGATCACCCCGTAGTCTGTGTAGTTGGCGCATCCTCGGCCCTCCTCCGTGAGAATGGCCACCACCCGCCTCCGAAAGGCATCTGACTTCTTCCACCTGCAGACTGCTGAAAATCACGGCGCCCGAATGACCCACAAATTCCGGCTTCGGTTTTCACAAAAATGAGTCTTGAGGGCCTAAAGGGCCTTAAACTCCTTCAGCCCCAGGGCACGTAGCAAAGCTCAAGGAGCCGCAGCCACTAGAAACCTGAGCCCTAAACCCTAAACCCTAAAACCTAAACCCCATACCCTAAACCCTAAACCCTAAACCCTAAACCCTACTTCAAAGCGCCTGGCAAAGGCCTCCTCAGCCCTCAGCTGTTGGGGCTTCTTCTCCTCCTGCGTCTAGGGTTTAGGGCCTAGGGTTTAGGGTTTAGGGTTTAGGGTTTAGGGTTTAGGGTCTTAGGGTTTAGGGTTAGGGTTTAGGGTTCTAGGGTCTAGGGTTTAGGGTTTTAGGCTTTAGGGTTTAGGGTTTAGGCGAAGATCGAGGACTTTAACTAATTATGATGTTTGGAAGTATTGAGGGATATTATGCTGTAGTGCATGGAGGT